CTGGAAAACCAGAGCAAGCCGGAGCGGGCTGGGGCGAGCGGCAGCCCGGCTGTACCCCCACCACGGGGGGGGTATTTTAGGGAGGAGCAGCTGCTCCTCACCCCTGTCCCCCCCGGGGCAGCCCTCCCTCTCCAAGCCAGCATCTGCCCGAGGCGCAGGAAAGTTATTTGCTCCGTGGGTTGGGGGTCCCCCCTTGCCCCCACCCCCAGGAGCGGGGCTTTGGGGCTGGAGGGGGGAGCCCCGGGCCGGGGCCGGAGGAGAAGGAGATAAACAAGCGAGGGGGTTGATAGCTGTCATCATCACCATCATCATGGCTTTCATTTGGCTGCCTAATGAGTCAGATCACAGGCAGAGAGAAAAATTGTCAATCGCCCAGGCTCTAATGAATTTTTTTGCAAATTGTAATCAAGCCAGGCCGTCTCAGCTCGCTGATTAATGAGACCCAGGAGGCCCGGCCAGCACCTCAGCTTTTTATTCCATCCCGTCCTCCCTGCACTAAATTAACAGCAACTTGTCTGAGCTTCAAATTAACTCCCAATGATTAATTCTGATGGGGGGGTCTGAAGAATAGCTCGTCCTAATAGGCACTGGCCTCTGATGCTGTTTGAAATTAATACACTTCCCCTTTGGCTGCCGGCTTTAATCCAAGGTTGGGTTTTGACATCACTATATTTGTTGTTACAATAAATTCCTCTTACATCTGCAGATCAAATAATTGCACTGCTTGGGGAGCACAGCAGAAATGCCGGCCCAATTCGCAGCAGCCCAAAGTCGGAAGGGAAGGAAAGCTGCCCGCTCCTCTCCACCTCACCTCCAGCCTGCCTTAGGAAACCCCCTTTTTATAGATATATTTTTTTTTTTTTTAAGCTCCCAGCCACCACCATTCTGCAGCACTGGGATGCGGCGGCTGGAGGAGGCCACCCCTCTCTGGTGGGGCGAGGGACGTGCTGCCTCGCTCTCAAATAAGACATCACAGCTTTTAACACCCCCCCCCCCTTACCCCTTCGCCGCAGCAACCCGGCAAACTCACCGTGTGCCAGGGCTGCCGCAGAGACCAGACAAACTCAGCACATGCCAGGGCAGGTCGGGCTGGGGGTGGCAGGGGGACTCCAGCTGCATCCCCCACTTCCTCGGAGGGGGCAGCTCTGCCTTCCGCCTTGTTTCTGTTTGTATTGACTTAATTGGTTTAATTATTTCAGCTGGGACTGGCCAGGCTCGGCTTTGTGCCTTTTACCTGCCCCTCCTGCCCTCGGGGATGTGGCTGCCCCGCCGACAAGGACCCCTTTGTGCCCAGGCTGGGGGTGTCGGACCCCCCCGTCTATTGGGGTTATCCCCCGTGATGGCAGGGGCCTCCGCATGAAGCATCCCCCAGAGCAGTGCCGACCCCAATATCTGGAGAGATGGGTGAGGGGGTCCGTACGTCTGCTAAAAATAATCCCCCCAAGGACTGAGCATCTCCCCCATCCCCAAAAGGGTGCATGTTATTCCCTGCAAGAGACTCTGGGCTCACTGTCCTCCAGGATTGGGCCCCCCCGCGCGCTTCCATGGGGCTGTATCAATCTTCATCCGCGAGGAGAGCGATGAGGCCGGTAAGCAGCCGCCAATGCAAATTCCTGCCGTCACCGTCATAAAGCACCCGGCACCCTGACACACAAAAGCAACACCATATGTACGAAGACAACCTGTATGAATTATAAATTGCATCATAAAAATTGATTGCCTATCCCAACCCTTCAGAAACACACATGGGGGGGGAACCCACCCTGCGCCCCAAACCGGCCAAGCCACAGCAGGAGGGGATGCTCTGCCGAGCCACCCCCCATCCCTCGTGGGGCCGAGGTCCCTTCCCGTCCCCCTCCCCGCCGCCATGGGATGCTCACCCGCCCCTTGCTTGCTCTTTTCTCCCTCCCGCTACCCCTGGCCCATAGAGAGCCTTAATCTATTTATTTCAAGCCACTTCATCCTCTCTCCCGCTTTTGTCCCAGCCCCAGCCTCTGGCTTTGTGGCAGGGGGGCTGGGGGTTTTAAAACCCCCTCCCCCCTAGTTTGATCCCTCCCGCTACCCCTGGCCCATAGAGAGCCTTAATCTATTTATTTAAAGCCCCTTCATCCTCTCCCCCGCTTTTGTCCCAGCCCCAGCCTCTGGCTTTGTGGCAGGACTGCTGAGGTTTTAAAAGCCCCTTCCCCTATAGTTTGAGGTCTCCTTGGCTGCCTGAATTACAATGGCTAAAACAGGATTACACTGACCTGATCCTATTAAACTCGCCAATCGATCTGTGCCGCCCTCCCTCCAGCTTGGCAAACTTACTTGCCCAACTTTCCCCAGGGCTCAGCCTAAGAGGATAAGCAAAAGGCTGCCTTTCCAAGCAGGCCTGATAGAGGAAGGCGGGATAGAGGCTATTTTTTTTTCAGAGCCACGTGGATTTTAAACCTCTGCTTTAGCTTCCAGCATCTTGGCCCCAAAGAAAAAACGCGGTGTTCTCTTGGTCTTGCAGGTGCTCTGACTCCCAGCACTAATGGGAGATAAAGTCATCCAGATAAATCATACAGAAAGGGGTATTTTAGGTATACACAAAACGATTCTCCCTCCCTTTGGAAAGGGCATCCCTGAAGCTGCCTGCTGTGGGGCATGTAGGCTCCTGGTCCTCCTTCTACAAACAACGCAGTGTGGAAAAAACCCCCGGGAATAAACAGCCTCAGCCCCTTGCTGCGATGCCAAGTGTGCCGGACCACAGCCTGAGCGAGGGCTGCCCACGCTCGAGGTGCCTGCGAGCCACTGTGGTACCCGCCAGGGCTGGCACCCCCGATGCAGCCACGCGAGCATCTCCCTGCTGATGCCCGATATCCCTCTGCGCCCAGGGGACCACCTCGCCCGTGCAGGCAGGGCTGGCCCA